TGAGAGAATTTGAGAGATTTATTTTGTGGAATTGGCTCATGTGGTTACAGGAGCTGGCAAGTCTAAAATTAGCCAGGCAGGCTGGCCATTCTGGTAGAAGATGATGTTGAAATCTTGAATCTGAAAGCAGACTAGAGACAGAAGTCTTTCTTACGTGGGAACCTCCTCAGTCCAAGGCTTTCAACTGACTGGATGGTACCCAGCCATGTTATGAAGGGGAATCTGCTTTTCGTAAAGTCTACTGATGTAGATGTTGAGCACATCTAAAAACTGCTTTGATAACGACAACGGGACTGGTGTTGACCCCAAACTGGGCATCGTAACCTAGCCAAGCTGGCACATACAATGAACCATCACACTTTCTAAAGAGAATCTGATTTTTCTCCAGGGAAAAGTTTTATTGAAGAGGTTCTTTGTCATTGCTTTATAATGCAAGAGCTGTATCCTTGGAGGTCTTGGTGGACACCAGTTAGAGAGCCCTAGGAGCTCCATGATACAGCGGCAATAAGCCAAATGGCCAAGCAGTCAGAATTTTAACAAAAGGATAGGGAAGAAAGCAGCCGGGGAAGACCCATCAGGGATCACAGTGGATAACGGAGTTTGGGAGAACATGTGTAGGCTGTACATACTCATGAGTATCTGATCAGGCTGTGGGGCCATCTATATCAAGATCTCTTTGACCCTAGGTACTTCTGCATATTCTCTGGCCAAAGACTGACTGAGTAATGAGCTATTCTGACCCAGGAATGACTCCTGGGAAAGCAGGTTTAAAAATAAAATTGCGTTTTCCATTTCTACATACAGTCTTTCTAAGAGTCACACAGCCAATGTAATAGCATCATTGAGTTCATTGTTTCATTCCCCAGCGTCATGAGCAGGTAGGAGCATTGAGACTATGGTAGACTTTGACCCAGAGTCTAGAGTTCTGGGTCTTCTTCCTTGCTGAAAGGCCTTGACTATTTTATGTGCCTTCCAATGGTGGGTCACCAATGTGCCCCTGCCCATAGCAGCATCTTCAGGATACAACTCCTGGTATTTTATGCCATTCCTCTTTGTGCCTAAATTAACCAAATATCTCTTCATCCACAGCATAAAACCCCACCAAAATTGCAAGAAAACACATAACACAAATTCCCTTTACTTGACCTCTACAGATTTTGTTTGCTTCTGCAAAACCCTCAAGGGAGAAGAGAGCCAGGAATATAAATTTACTCAGGCTCATACTTTCAGTCTTCCACTCCCCTTTTTAGTTTTGTGATACCTTATTCTTTGTTCTTTGTACCACAGTACTAGCAGCCAGATGAAAACCACTTTGGAGGAAAGATGGTTTATAACCTGACTCATCCTACCTGGAATGCTTGTTTAATCACCCTCAAAGTTGGTCTTCACTTTCCAGTCTTCCATTTAGCCCTTTAACCTTGAGACAGAAAATACATAGAGAAGGTCTCACTGTGTGATGATGGTGATGCTTAAAAGGTTTACTTTTGCACTCTACCCTGTAGCAAGAGACCCAGTGACAGTCTGGAGACGAATCTGTATGCTTTGCTTCTTAGAAATGGTTCAGAGTCATTTCCAGGTCACCTGGATGGCTGTATTAAGCTTTGAGATGCTTTAAGGATCAAAGGATGATCCTATAGTGGCTGTGCAGCTTTTCTGATCCAAAAAAAGAAGACTCCCAAAACAGTTTCCCAAAAGTATGGTGGACCAATCGCTGACGTGCTGTGAGTGCAGCTCTGCTGTTCCAGAAATGCGAGTAGGTAGGCCACGGAAAGTGGCTGGCCCTTAGCTTCTGTATTTGTAAGAGGAGTGGGAGCCTCATCAGTCTCTCTCTCCTCTTGAGTTGGAGGAGTGAAATTCCTTATTTTTTTGCAATAGGCTAAGATCTTCCAGGATGGCTGGAAAGAGGTCTTAGTAGAAAGGCTTATTCTTGTGAAAATGTTTCATAAACTGTATACATGCACATTGTCAACTGTTTTTGAAAGGAATGATGTTTATTTGTCTTCATAGCCTAGAACTTTAAAAAAAAAATCCATAGTAGAATATTATATACCCTTTGGATCATTTTATGATTTAGTAACTAAAAATATTCAAAAGAAACAATGGTTTGGTACATCTGCTAAAGCAAATTAGATCTATTTTATATTGTCCTTGTTAGTGTCATAGTTTTATGTGCTAATTATATTTATTCATACATTTTCCTGTTACTCTAAAAAGTAGAACTTGGAGCTCTTGTTTCATAGTTTTTCGATAAATTCTTTGGATTTGTGAATTCTCTCAAAAGGAAAGGTGACTAAGCAAGTGAGGCTTGAACCATATTCAAAATTCAAATAAAAATCAGATGGATATATTCTAATCTTCAGATGATTTCATTGGGCAGATCAAACTATCATATTGTATTACAAGATGGATTTCAACAGAATGTTGTTAAAGTTGGCTGTCGTCCCACTGTATGGGTTGGTTTTAACTTCTGCTTTTATTTTATTTTTAATTACCATCCGTGGCTTTTTTCAATTGTGGAAAAATATCACCAGACGAGTTGTGATTTTCCCACAGAATTACTTAGTGCTCATGTCACCTCATAGTCAGAATATGGGAATTTTGGACTTGACTAATAAAATGATCATTTCCTCATATAAATTTAGAGAATAAGGAAGCTGGGAGTCATAAAATAGAACCACACTGAAATATTTATTACTTTCGATATGCTTGTCCTTAAATTTCTACTTTTGATATGCTTGTCCTTAAATTTCTTCTGTTCTTTAAATTCCATGGGTAAACTCCCATGCTTTGACTTGTGAAGTAGAATAAGGACAGGTGTTAGAGACACACTTTCTTCCTACTCTCGGTTGTTTTAGTTAAATTCATTTTGGCATTCATAAAGCTGATGGAAATTACTGAAAGCAAAATATAAATTCTATTTTAACTTTCATATTAGATAACTTATTCTCATTCATTAATTCAGGTGATGCTCTGGGTGAAGAGAATTAGGGTTAAAAGTGTCTAATACTTAACGCCCACCCTCCAAGGAATGGCAGACAAAGTAATACGTATGCATCACTATAAGCATGGGAAGGGGAGTTTTTCTAGGAGTTTTGTGATTTTTCTTAGAGATTAAAACATTTGTTTTGAAGATATATATATAGATATATAGATATATAGATATATAGATATATTTGTTTGTTTATAATATATAATAGGATATATGACATTTTTTTCTGACGTTTTTATACCCCTTCTAAAATGTTTTAGAAGTCTCTCTCCACTCCAGGATCCAAAAGGAACTAGAAAGATTAGCCCTAGCTCACTCCTTTCCTTCCCTTCCCTATCTCGCTTTCCTTCCCCCTCCCTTCTCCCTTCTTTCCTCCCTCCCTCCCTCCCTCTTTTTCTCCCTCCCCTTCCTTCTTTCCTTCCCACCTTTCCTCCCTTCCTCCCTTCCTTTTTCCCCTCCTTCCTTCTTTCCTCCCACCCTCCCTCCCTTCCTTCCTTCCATGTGTGTAAGATACTAGAGACTGAACTCAGAGCCCCGTGCATGCCAGGAATATACTTTACCCCGGCTACGTCGCTGCACTCTTTCAAGCTTGTGATCATATCGTGAGACCGTAGTGAGCTTGTTGACTAGAGAAACAGTTAGTACAGTCACACAGCAGTACCAGCGTCCTTTACTGTAGCACTCTTATGTGAATAACATTTGACTGTATACTTTAGAAATATATTAATTACCTCACAGAGTCTTTTAGCTTTTAAAAAAGAATGCACTAGGTTCCCTTTTTTCTCCCATTTTACTTCAATATGAGTAGAGGCAATTGAAAACAACCAGTAACCAAAGGCAAGAAATAGTAATTAATGGAAGGTAGCACATTTGTTAAAGAACTTTAAATCACACATTTTAAAAAATAAATACTATTTCTACATGTCCTGTTACTTGGCATTTCACCAAAGCCAAGACTGTATAACAAATGAGTTGAAATGGAAAATGTATCTTCGATGCAAAGTAAGACCATGAGAGAAAGAAAGGAAGGAAGGAAGGAAGGAAGGAAGGAAGGAAGGAAGGAAGGAAGGAAGGAAAGAAAGAAGCAAGCAAAGAAGAGGAATGTTGGTTCCAATAGTTTCATATAGAATATAACTGTTCATTCATCATAGGAGAGAAAAATATTTAATCAGTCCTGAACTGATCCACACATACTTTATCATGTTTAGTGACTT